CCCCAAAACCCCAAAACCCCAAAACCCCAAAACCCCTTATATGATGTCAGATATAGCGATTATAATCTTAAAATATGTCCAAAGTCATAATAGACAAAGCCAGGAACTACAAAATTGGTAGCTATAAGAGAGTTGTAGACCATATTGAAGCAATTCAGTATGCTTTAGGAGTTGGGTGCAATTCTGACCCAATGGATCAGAGAGATTTACAATTCACTTACGAGAATTCTAAGAACTTCAACATAATTCAATCTTACTCCTCAATTTTCAGTGTTTACGGACTTGATATTATTAGGAAATGCCCTGGACTTCCTGATTATCATCCAATGGCATTAGTACATGCAGGACAGGTAATCAAGCCAGTATATCCAATAACAATCGGAGAAACTGTCACTGCTTCCAACAAAATCATTGACGTTGAAGATAAGAGATCAGGAGCTTTAGTGTCCATAGAATCTTCGATTCACAAAGAAGACGGAACTCTTGCTGCTCAAAACATTGCAACTCTTTTTATTAGAGGTATTGGAGGGTTTAAATCTGAGCAAGATCCAGAGCCCATCACTCCGGCTATGAATTTCCCAAATCCTATCTCTAAAAACCCAATTGAAGAAATTACGCTTCCTACTGCTGAAAATCAAGCTCATTTGTATAGAGTAGCTTCTCTAGACCTCAACCCTCTTCATATTGATCCAGAGGAGTCTAAAAAGGGTGGATTCGAACGCCCAATCCTTCATGGACTCTGTACTCTTGGATACTCTACAAGAGCATATCAAACTGTCTTCGATCATCATAATTTTGCCGAAATTGGAGTAAGATTTACTGCACCCACAGTCCCTGGACAAAGCCTACATGTTCAGTTCTTTGACACAGACAACGAGAACCAGACTGCCTTCTCAACCATCGCATTTGACCAGGATAAGTCTGTTTCAGAGGGAGTAATAGTTGCCAAAGGATGGCTCGAAAAGAAATAAAAAAGTATCAATACTAAAGATTTGGCAAGGGGTTTTGGGGTTTTGGGGTTTTGGGGTTTTGGGG